TTTTACAAGATTGATAGATGATAGCAACACATTATCATAAAATGATTTTGATGCTGTTCTGTTGTTTCTTTGGGTGAGAAGGAGGCTGATTCTTTGAAAATAATAGAAAATATTATTCATCTTCAAATCTATCTCTCCAGAGATATGCAAGATAGAGAAGGAGAAATCCAGTTGCCTGACCATACACATTTAAGTGCCACTTAAGTAACCTTGAGTTTCCCAGGTGTTTGCACAGGGCTGGCAGAGGTGACACAGGACACAAAGGGAGACCTGCACCTTCCAGAGTGACAGCTGGAGCCCAGCTTAGGATATGGCAAATATTTAGGCATCTGAATACTCACTAAGAAATTGTATTTACATGTTAATAGCACTTTACATCTTCCAGTGGTAGCAATTACCAGTGGGTGGGAAAACAGCCAACCAAAAGAAACCCCACCAAAACCAAACCAAACCACCGTTTTGCAGATAATTATCTGTCAATGTTTCATTCTATTTGCAAATCAGGAATGATTGGGTCTACTCTCAAGTTGAGACCCCAGCATTTCTAGTACCTGCCTGGTGCTCCTTTATAAACTCTGATCATGTTCAGATGTGTTGCTGTGGTCGTCTCTTTTGAGACTTTCACACACTAGCTTCCAAAACACAAGTCTGTGCTGTGTAAAATGGTGAAGCAAAGGAACAGATCATAAGTAAAAAATCCAGCATTGAGTAAAATTACATTCGGTTTCACACAAATGAGGCTGGGCATACGAAGCTTGCAAACAAAGCCATACCAATTCCTTTATCTTTTTTAGAAGTTGAACAAAACTACCCGTGACTATTACATGACTCAGGTCCTCATTTGTGTGATCTCAAGGCTATCTGTGCCTATAAAAGCAGATGACTAATGAGACTGGTGACTGAAGAGCCGCTAACAGTCCACTTCACACTTCAGTAGCATTTTCTGATGTCCTATCTTCTGATGAAAAGTCGCTTGTGACCTTTCCTATTATGAAGAAATTCCTCCTTTACAATAGCTCTAAGAACTTGCCAATATGCACATCCCAGGCATCTCGGTAAATGCCCTTTACTTGTCTCATGACATCCTGATTGAAGTATCATTTTTCAGAATGGCTGCAAACAAACATTTTAAAGGCTCACAGTAAGGAGGCAGCAGCATAAACTGGCACCTCCTGGCTGCGACTCCATCTGCCTGAACAACTGCCAGGCTATTCTGTTTCGAATATATGCATTCAGTCCTCAGCCACAGTAGCCGGTTTTTCTTCTGGGGCAATACCTAGTGCCGGATTTCCTCCAGTGGCAATCAGAGCCATGGGAGGACGGGCAGCACCACATCTCAGTTGCCCATCTCCTCCCTAGGGTAATAATCTTCTCTCGGCAGCCTAAGTGGTTTTTATTTACACTGCTGAGGGCTAAGGTTTCCAGCCTGCTAACGCTGACTGACAGAATTGGGTTTTAGTTTTTTTCTTTTAAGAAAAATATTCTAGGAAATTGCATAACCTTCTTTGATCTTCTTGATAACTGGAATTTAAGGTTGCAATCCCACCCATTGAAAAGTTAGTCAAAGCCAACTGCTTACTGTTGAGCAAGCAGTCTGATTTGCCTTCTTGTGCTATGTGCTATGATCTAATCCTAAATTGTATAAATCACAAACTTTCTTCTTCCTCCAGGTCCATTCATGATTGAATGCAGAATAAAGATAGAAAAGGGCTGAAGTAAGGTTGCATGTGCACAGCCACAAGTCCTGCTTTTTGTATCTCGGTTATGCCAAGGAAATAGCTTACCCTTGCTCTGGTTTAAACATTGCATAGACTCCTATAGCTACAGCCAAAGCCATCAGAGACTATTACTCTGATGTTTTTCCAACAGCACATGTGAAATGGGCTGCTTCTCCACTAGTTTCTTGCTTGGGAAATCTTCACCCACTCCCAGAGAGGCAACATTCCCAACAGAGGCTAGGGATAAACATGCATGAAGACTGAACTCCCATCTCATCTCCTGGTCCCTTTAGGTGGCTTAGGTTAAAAAACAAAACAATCCAAAAGACAACAAAGAAAGAAACAGAGGAGACAACTGCAACCCAGTGTCCATGAATTTGGCCTGTTTCATGACAGTGAAAATGGGATAAGGCCAAACACACTGGCTGCAAAAATCCATCCATGGTGTTGTTCCAGGATACTAAAATAGCTATACTTTTGTCTAATTGGTCTCTCAGAAATATTTTTTCAAACTCCTTTTATTTTTAGAATGAGGCAAAATGTTGCATTTGCGGCAACAAATGGTTATGTTTGGGGGCACATCAATTAGAGTGAAGCCCTTAGGTGAAACCAAGTTAGTGGCTGCCCATTTTTAACACAGTAAGATGCATGTGAGACCTCCTACCAGGCTTTTAGAGGGCAGGTTAATAATTAACAGCCTAAAGTCAAGTAGGGCTGCATCCTGCTCTTTTTCATGTAAATAAAGCCCACTTTTAATCTACTTGCCGGTTCGTTAATGTCGTTTTTTATTCTTGAAACTGCAAATACAGAAAGTGAACGGAACCCGAACTGAATGCTGCTAAATACGCCTGGGCAGCAGTACAGTGTTTGTGTCCTGAATCAGAAAACATCAAATTTCCCTCAAACAACAAAACTTCAAAGTATATCAAGGATGATTTACAGTGCAGGGGTAGCAAGCCTTATTGCCCCTCCTTTGTCCATTTTCTCCACGGGACTGCCTGCTGTTCAAGCAAATCACAATCCCTCCTCGCCTGGGTGCTGGAGACCAGTTGATGAAGGTGGGGATGGGGTTACGTGTTTAACGTTTGGGAGAAAGGGATGATGGGGAGCGAGCCACTGAGCTGAGGCTGCATTTTGATGACAGATGAAGTCTCTGTCTGGCTGTAGGATGAACACCCCGTTTCTGTGGCTCAGTCTTGTCAGCTGTTCCTTGGGCATAATAATCTTTTATTGTCTTCGGGGCATGTAAGACTTTGTGTTTATCCTTACAAACAGAGCTTTACCTGCCTTCTACAGATGGGCTTTGCAGATTCACATGCAACAATAACAAACCCTTTCCTCAGTGAGAACCGGTAAATTAGAAGACCAGAACTGGAGGTAAAAACTACCTTCTGTCAAACCAGGTATTAATGATGTCATTGGCTTACACTTTTCCCCTTCTGAACATGGGCCCTTAGTGGGGATCTGGAGGAAAATTGAACCTGGAAACTCCCACCATTTTTGGGGCTCCCCAGGATGTGCAGATGGGTTCGTATCATTAAGCATACTGTTAATGCAGAACCAGTTTACAAGCCTGAAAACCGGCGTTGCTTTACCAACTGCTTTTTTCTGCCTACTTCAGAGCATGCTGTATGAGACAGGCGTCCTGGCTGAACAGGGAGAGCAGCAGAGGACAGAGCAGCTGACAGGCTTGTTACCAGTGGTGGAAACTAAATTTGAGTGCATGAGTATTCCTCAAGAGCAAACAAAAACTGCAACAAATCATTCATAAAACGCAGTCAAAAAGGACTTCATTTAATTAGTGATATGTAAAGGCTTTTGCATAGAAAAGGGTTAACAAAGTAATGCATAAAAGACCAACTAGGTACAGTATTTTTAAAACAAATATTTTAAAGTATATTTTGCATAATGTTTAACATTCTCAATGCTTATTGCTTTCTCCACACAGCAGAGAAATCAAGTGCATAATAATACATGCTGTGTTTTACTTTAATTTTTTTTTACATAAAATCTCTAGTTCTTGACTGGGTGTATTAAAATACTTAGGTTATTTTAAGTCACTGTACTAAAAAATGAAAGCAAACCATTTTGTGCAGCACTAGTTGTCTGGGTATTGACAAAATAATTTACTAACACTCCCCTTAATACATTCATTTTGGTTTGGAATCAAACCCACGTTACAATGTTGGCACATTAAAAGCCAATTTTAAAACTGTCCCTACTATAACTTCATTCATACCCAGAGTGATTGTTCTCCCAGAAGTTGATAGTGAAGAGGAATCTTGCACAGAATCAGCTAAATGTCCAAATATAGCTAAATAAGTGAATTTGAACTCTTAAAACACCGAGTCTCTTGTATTGGCATGAACCAACTGTATCCAAGTGTGCACAATTTAAATAGGTGGTTACTTCTGGGTGCATGACAAATTCACTGTGCAGATAGGAGCTAGCACCATATTTAAGCCATAAAAATGGGTGCCTCAAGGCTCACAGGCAGTGCTGAAACGTTCATTAATCCTAGCACTGATAAGATAATTGCTTTTACCAATGCTATGCTAGATGTCACAATCTGGCAAGTCTGTACAAAGAAAGTGAACTAAGGAAGCGAGAATTAGGCCTGTCAAATTGAACATTCTTCCTCGGTAGTCTTTTGGCTAAAACCCCCTCTCCCCTTCAAAAGCATGCTCTTCCCTGGAAAGATGTCCCAGTTCTGAAGTTGAATGCAGAATTTCGCCTCTCTCCCATACCATTTCCATACCTGTGCAATGTTATTTGTTTTAGCGGAACACACATATATATATAAAATTTTTTATTTATTATTTATTTCAATGTCAGGCACTTACGAAAGTCAAACTCTTTTTCTAGCCTGGGGAAGCTTGGTAGATGCAATCCCTTCACTTCTCTGCCGAAGAAGGATGCACAGCTGGAGAACTATTAGCTCTAATGTCTACGTATTTCTACGTATTTCCCAGGAAACCTCTACATGCTGATATGGTCACGCTGTTATGAAAGCCACTGCTGCTCCCTCAAGATGCCTCCAGCAAACCAGAAAGAGAAGAAGAAAGTATCACTCCGTGTCCTCTCCTATGCCTGAAATGAGGATAGCTGTGCCATTCCTTGGCGGGCTCACCAGCACCTCCCAGGCTCTTTGGGTGAGCAGGAAGGACACGCTGAGTCCTGAAGGCTCGTGTCTGGGTATGTGTGTGCACGTGGGGCTGTGTGTGCACGTGTGTGTGTGCTCATGGAGAGGAGGGAGCCAGACCGGGAAGGGGGACGGGCCACTTAAAAGGCTCCAACTTCAGTCCCCCAGGGTCGGTACGGTTTGGTGCTGCCCCCGCTGCCAGCCTGCGGAGGGCTGGCGGTGGCTGATACGGC